GGAACGGTGACCTTCGGAGCAAATGCTGTGTATTGTGTTGGGGAACTTCATGCCTAGCTGTGAATCTCCTACCGACCACCTAATTCTGCAGCTCTAGACATTTACAAGCTTTTAGCAGTTTAGCCCAGTCCAAGACCCACAGCCCGGCTGATGCAGAAATATGCTCACACCCTCCCCTTGACGCTGAAGCATGCAGAAATCTCTGATACCAGCAGCAATAGCGGCAGTTTGCAAACATGAGCAGCAGCCAAGCCAGGCTGAAATCTGTTTGTATACTGTAGCTGCTCCGTAAGTCCGGGATGCCCGATGTGCCACCAGCACTACATCCGTGCTGCTAAACTGGAGAGCGTGGGTGCACAGGCAGAAACTTCGGCTGGCCCATCCTGTTAGCACTGCCCTGGCACGATTTTGGCCTCCGCAAGCTGGCGTCCTCTGAGCCAGTGCCTGCTACGGCGGGGGTTGGCATCACACCGCTGCTCAGCTCGGGTGCAGAGGATCAGAGGGCTTCCTCGCAAGGACGCGGGCTGTGCCAGACCAGTCAGCCTGCTTTCTTCCCTCGGGTAGATGCAGCTGGTTAGAGCAAAAGGCTACGTGCAGCAGCGAGCACCTTACTGCAAACTGTCGGCTTGGCCCTGGCCCCCACGAGGAAACGCCGTCGGAAGCAAATCGAGCAGGACACCCTCAACAAAGCACCACGCAGGATGCAAGTGTCTGCTACCCACCCACCCCTTCTTGCTGCAGAAGAGGCTTGGCAGGTTTAAATACCTGCACCGAACAGCTGCACAGACCATATTTCAAATTCACTGGTATAGAGTCTTCTCAGCGGTGGAGGCATTTGGGGAATTGAAACCAGCATAGCAGGAGACCTTCACTCGTACGAGTTGTTTTGTTTCCATTCTCACCAACCATAACCCTACGTGGCTGCTAGCATCTGGTGTGATGATGTGGGTGCTTGTGCTTTGTTTTCTCAACTGAACTCTTTGAAAAATGCCTTTCCTTTAAAGGTAGGCGTGGTATATTTAAAGGCATTCGGGTCACAGCCTTCTGTCTGGGAGGATAAGGCTCCAGGAGGGGCAGGGATGCTGATGGGAATGAGGAAGAACTGGGGATGGGCGCAATCCCATCCTTGGGA